TCTTTGTTTCAGCATAGTAGATTCACCAAAATTAATATCCTTGCTAAGAATAATCTTTTATGAATCAGGACAGACAGATGATACCCTTTTTGCTCTTGAGCTAACTCCCATCATCAATGTTTTATTCGCCTTCAGATTCAGTTTAGATTCTTTCGTATGGTGGAACCAAAAACATGTAAAGAATCCTTAATCATTTGTACGTTTGCCAAACCATATTTCCATAGATGTTTTGCCATTAATCAAACCATATTTTAAAAAAAGGGGCCCTACAAGAATTCAAATCTCCTGAATTTGGCCCTGGATGAACAGCATTGCTCAATATAATTTTAATTAATTTTTAATTACATGTAGCTCTGTACATTGTTAAGCATTAGGTAAGAATATGATAGCTTTTTAATTAATTTACTTACGAGTATTTTCATACAAATTAAACTTTTTCATGTTACTTTAGACAAGAGAAGAGTAAAATGAGTATGCTCTGTACAAATAGTAAAATCATCACTAAAAAGAACAAAAATTTACATCGAATGAAGTATAATCTTCGACTTTCTCGTATCGAGTCTAAAACAATCCTCCTCGATCCACTCTTTCAACTTTCACGCCTATCACGCATGACATCAACAAAGTACAATACGAAACGTAATTTTAACAAAAGCAAAATTTCTCATCAATACCTTTATAATTATTTTGTACACTAAAAAGGGAGTGTGAAAAGTTGGAGATGGTGGCATGGGAAAAGTGGTGGGGGGTGCACCATAAGATGATAATCATGAAAGTGCCAAGAAACAGGTCCGAATGGGTTGGTGACACAATTTGCTTTTTCTTCCTTTTTATTTGTTTTTGCACTAATATTTATATTTAATTCTTATCTATAATGTTTGGGGGGGCATGCTACTGCATCAAAGTTTGTAAAAGGAAAGATAATGGGGTCCCACAGAGATCTCTCTCTCTCCCTGAGTGAGTTACACCCAATCTTCTAACATTGATTAGCAGTCAAATTAGTAATAATTAATTGCAATTTTTATTTTTATTTTCCTTTATGGGCAAATTGAAAAAGTGTCACAAAGTGTTAATCATCATTGGATTGGGAATGTGGTTGCTTTAGTCCCTTTGGAATAAACCACATATGTTGGGTACTGAATCATCCCTGAGGTTGGGGAGAGAATTAATATGTGGGACTCAAAAAGTTCATTAAAGAAAAAGAGAGGAAATAATGAATCTAACCATATATTTTGGAATTGTTTATAAAAAATTATAAACGGTCGGGAATTAATTTATATTTATTTCGATTTTTTTATATATAAAATCGAATATAAACACTTATTAAATAAGTTCTAAAAATTATAGCGTATCGGATGCATTAAAAATGAAGCTTGGCATTGCTGTGGATGCCGAGTGTATACAATAATGATTGGTTGGACGACTCCAACATTGCGTATTGTGTCTTGCCGACAAATTGGCGATGCAAGCTTAAAATTATGGATCATTCTACAAGTATATAATCATTTACATAATACATTACATAATGGACATGTGGCGCGTATTCATCGGTAGTCTCTCAATTATAAAGATCAATATTCATAATTTGTTTAACAATCTCTTTCGAGTAGAATTAAACATTTTCTTACATATGATCCGACTATATTTTTATGACAGGTGCAAACATAAAAAAATGTATTAAAAATTTATGAATACTTAAAAATTACTTAGAGAATAACTGTTTATATTTCCAGTTGGACTCTACGACAATTGAAACTATATGTAACTTATTTTTAATCTTTCAAAAGTCAAACAAGTCACAAAACTCATACAATCATTGCGTATATAATTGTAGAAAAATTAAATTTATGCTAATCATTCAAGATTTGAAAACGTGCTTTGAATGTTAAAATTAAATAAAATAAAAAATTATAGGATTACGATACAAAGTTCATCGTAATCCTAACACTAAAAATAGTTAACCACACGTTGGAATTAAAAAAAAAAAAATTGACATAATGTGAATAATTCCCAAATTCCTTTTACAATTATTGATGAATTCTTGCACAAAAATTTGGAATGATTTTTCTTTGTTGCTGCGTGTCCGTCCGTTCTCCTTTCTGCTCGTTTTTTTCCCTCCTAATCTGCCACCTGCTTTTTAATCGACCAAAAAAGGAGTCCAATTCCTTGGTCTATTCGCAATTTGATCCTCATTGTATATCTATATCTATAATAATAATATCTTCTATTTATTAAAAGTGGCTATGTAACGGAATTTCTTGTTTTTAACGGAAAAACTGACGAAATTTTTTGTTTTAACGGACTATGTAACGGAATTTCTTGTTTTAAACAGGCAGCTGCACCTTCTTTCAGTATTTTTATCATAACTTTGTATTCCGATATCCGATTGAGGCGATTCAAAATGCGTTGGACAGCTAACTCATC